CAGAGCCCCAAATAGACAAAACCAGAAAAGAAACTTCTCATGCATGTCATACTTTAAACACCAAGTATACAAAACAAAGAAAGAATATTGAATGCAGCAAAAGGAACACACACACACACACACACACACACACACACACACATGCGCTTGTCACAAATAGAGGAAAATCCACCAGAATAATAGCTGATTTTTTTTAGTGGAAAATTTAAAATGTTAGAAGAGCCTGGAGCAAGGTACTTCAAATTCTAAAAGACTACTGGTGTTAACCTAGTTTACCATACCAGCAAAACTTTCTGTGATATAAGCAGCCTACCAAAACTGCAAAAGCAAAATGAACAAACCAAAAATCCAACAACTAGATAAAGAATAAAATAAAAAGTGCATTTGGGAAAAATAAAAGAAGTAAAAGTTTATGTTTAAGCTTAGCTTTATATCATTGTGGTTTCTTGTGACTTTAAATCCCAATTTTCATTGCAATGCAATTTTCAGTTCAATGACTATTCTTTTTAAACTTCAGGGTGTTTTTCTTGGTATATGAATTGTATTTTCTAAAATATTAGCTCTGGAGAGTTGTGCATTTTAGTTAAAGATTTAAAGTAATTTGGTGTGTTTAAAGTAACTTTGAATTTGCCACTAACATCACTTATCCTCCTATTTTGTCCATGAAATTACTTTCTCCTGCCACCATGACTAACTGGTCATTTGGCCTCATCTAAACAGACAAACAGAAATGTATACAAAGGAAAAGACATCATCTATGCCTGACCTGTTTCCATGGATATTTCTCTTATGTACATAATATACCATTCTTTATTCATGTGCTCCTAATTGCACACACACTCCTACACGTGTTGAAACTGGTTTGTTTTCTTGTCACTGTGGGTGCTGATGTCTGACTTTTAGCAATGAATCTGAGTTATTTTCAAACTGACCCCTCACTATAAACTTGGTATCTATCTACAGAGTCCTGACCCACCCACTGGAGCTCAGTTACTCTTTGGAGGCCCTTCCATCAGAATTACTGGAACTTACCCACCTCTGTCCAACATCTGAGAAATCATTTGTGAAGAACTGGATGCCATAGACTGTAACCTGTGTGGGACCAAGTTCTCAATAGCCAGAGCCAAGGAATTAAACAAGACCTCTAGTCCTTTGGGGACAGCCTCCTCCCAATGAGCTATATTTGAGGACCTGGACACGGAACAGAAAATTCCCACATTTCTCAGGGTAGAAGTCTGTTTTTCTGCTTGTGGTTACCAATGACCGGTTATCTGTACATCACCTAGAGAATACTCCCCCTTGAACATGCCCCAGGAGGCGAGCTACTCAGAGGCATAATGGCTTCACACTAACACTTTAAACCTCTATGGTGGTAGGTGAAGTCACTTTTGGTAGAGAAGCAGTAAAGGCAGGAAAAGAGCAGTACTGTAGGAAACCCCAGTATTTCCTCAAAGTCTTCTCTGAAATGTACATAAATTAATAAGTAGTAGAGAAAGATGATGCTAATTCATGTAAACCTTGATACACACACGTGTGTGTGTGTGTGTGTGTGTGTGTGTGTATACACATACATACATATACTTTATATATACTTTTTGCGAGCATTTGGTGCCCTTAATTCTATATATTAATTAATAAAATCAAAAATAAATATAACTAGACATTATGTAAAGGAAGAAGTATAGTTTAAGGACATGATTAAGGACATAAAATATCTTTATCATATTTGCTCTTTGAAAATTTCACACATGTATGTAGCGCATTCTGTTGAGAAGTATAGTTTAAGGACATGATTAAGGACATAAAATACCTTTTATCATATTTGCTCTTTGAAAATTTCACACATGTGTGTAGCGCATTCTGTTGACCCTCATCACCTCCCTTTCTCATCTTTCTCCCACCCTTGTCAAATCCCTCTTCTTCCCTACAGGGAGGGAGAGACAGATAGATCTTTGAGTTTGAGACTAGCTTGGTGTATAAAGTAAGTTCCAGGACAGCCAGGACTACACAGAGAAACCCTGTCTTGAAAAATCATAACCAAACCAAACCAAAATAAAAACAAAAAGAAAAGAAAGAAAATCAACAGCAAAATCTTATTCCAAGCATTCCAGTAATGTTTTTGTGTGTGTGTGTGTGTGTGTATCTAGCTGCGCTATAATTACTTGGTTTGTATGAGATGGTTAAAAGGCCAAAGCTAGTGAGGGTTCTTTTTTTCTTGTCTATGAAACTACTATTATTTAATTTATATATTTATTTATTTATTGTCCTGTTTGATGAATGTATGAAACAAAGCCCAACAGAAAACTGAAGTTTTGTTTCGATTAGCTATGTTTTAACAAAAAAAGGTCATTGGCAAATAAATAGTAGCCATAATTATTAATTTTGAACACCTTGGTTTTTTTTGGTTTTTGGTTTTTGGTTTTTCGAGATGGGGTTTCTCTGTGTAGCTTTGCACCTTTCCTGGAACTCACTTGGTAGCCCAGGCTGGCCTCAAACTCACAGATATCTACCTGGCTCTGCCTCCCGAGTACTGGGATTGAAGGTGTGCGCCACCACCTTGTTTTTGGAGTTAATAATTTGGAGTCAGACAATTTAACTTTAAATATACTTCCTATAATTCAATAACCAAAAGCCGTTCTCACATCTCTGAGCCTTTTCATTTTTCTTATAGATTTTTCATGGCTGACAAAAATGACAATATATAGTCCACATGGCTTTTCTCAGCATGAAGTGACTAAATGCATACAGGTAGAGTAATAGTCTTTCATGGGAGATCCAAACTATTATTAAAATGTAAATTACTCTCCTTACTTATTTGAAATAGAATTTGCTCATGTTCAATAACTAATGGAGCAGAAATTATATAAGTAATTGAGTAGAAAAAAAAACACAGTTACATTTCTTCACTTGGTAGGTAGCTCATGAAAAGGTTACTAGTTCATTTTATCAAGATATGTATTTCCTTTGACCAGTAGATGTCAGCAGTATGAATATGCCAAGGCAAAGATCCTAGATGCAATCTCTTTTTACAGAGCTCTTGTTATAGGTTAGATAATACAATAATTTGGTTCTCTATAAATATAAGTTAAATCAACAAAAAATTGCTTGCCATTTGAACTGTATGGATATTTAATGATCAAATCAACTATACTTTTGCAGAAGTAGCAAAAGATCCTTAAGCTATTATCTTACCCCTAATATTACATTATATTTTAGATACATATTTATTTACATAGCTGCAAGTTTGAGAACATCTGTTCAGAGATCCTTGATTTTTTTAAGACAAAAAATATAGGTCAGAAGGTTGGTGAGTTTTTTAAAATGGCAGACACAATTTAATAACAAATTGTCAAATTACAGAGGTAAGGTGTTTATTTTTATGGATCTGACTAGAGCATGCAAATTGGCCATAGTAGTAGGTTTCATTTCATAAATGCATATAACACATTGCTAACATTTATCCCTGAATTACCCTCATATAGCTCCTCTTGTCCTACACCCCTTCCCCCTTATAATCCTCCATCTTCATGATGACCACCCCCCATATTTCACATGTGAGAAAATACTTAATGCTTGTCTTTCTAAAACTCACATTATGCAAGTTAATTATTTCTGATAAAGATAATGTGTCTGAGTGGTCTTGCTTCTCTTGCTACATGAAAATCATGCTAAAGATGGGTCCATTTGATACACTTTGTGGACACAAGTTTCTGTGTTTATTTAGACCTCACTCATTTTATTTGTCAAACTAAGCTGATATACCAGGTTTCAATGCATTTTAATTTTTCCACTGTAAATTTGTAGTAAATAACTTCCAGGTGCACAAGGCAGAGGCTGTAAAACTCAAGCACGATTCATGCACATGAACCAGGGAATTCTGCAGGTCGATACACCAGGAAGGAATGGAGCTAAGTTGGTGTTATTCAATACAAGAGCTGCCCAGGCTCACAGAGATGAGTAGGTGCTGTTCCTTTAATGTCTTCTTGGCTTTATCTACCCATATTTCACAATCATCTAATAATTTGAGTAGTTTTGTATTGACATGTTGACCTAGACAACATTTCTGAAACACAAGACATACAGGGAACATCTGCTGATTTTAGTCAAGAATTCTATGACCAGTCATGAACTTCACTTCAATGGCTGTTTGACCTATTTTAAACAAAACATTCTTCACCCATATCAGGAATTTCACAATATGAAAAAATATTTGAAGCCCATAGCATTAAGAAATTTTGCTGAGATTACTTTTTTTGGCTTATGCCATAGAATTGACCTTATTTCCGCTTCTAAATTTTATGAAGCCCTATATACATGAAGGCAAATGATGTATAGAATCAGTTTGAATTTGGACACAAAACACAATTACTCACATCAAAATTGAAAAAGAGTATCACATTAATGTTCATAAGGTAGTCTGTCAGATCCTTTAAGAAACTAAAACCCAATTTATTAGAGAAAAAATAGGGAGCAAGGAGAAGGAATGAGAACAGAGACAGGAGTAGTAATGACTGTAAGGATAAGACATAGAAAACTTACCCAAAGTGAGTCAATAATTTTAGAGATGAAGGAAAAGTCTGGGCTTATTGTAAAGAATAGAATGATATGAGGCAGTTCAAACACCAGTAAGTACTAAGTCAAGAACTAAACTTTGCATCTATAAAACATTGTTAGGTTACACTGTTCTTCATTTTTCAAACTTACCTAAAGAGATGTGTGGAGAAATGGAAAGGCTTATCATTCTTGAAAGTGATTCTATTCAAAGGTGATTGTCACCTTCAGTGTCATCTCTATGACTTTCTAAACTTTGTCCAGATATGTGGAGGGAGGTAGGGAGACTGGACAGAATTGTAGATTTTCTTAGCTATCAATACTAAAGCATTTCTAATCAAAATGCAAGACATGGCAATCACATCTAAAATTTTAAAGACTTTCAAGAGAACTCAGATTATTATACCTTGAGCCATATGTGGATATGTTTATCCAAACTTTACATAGAATTATTCTTTTTGTAAAAATATTTTTATTATTTTCTCTCGAATCTGCTTAGTCCTGACTCCATAAATGACAGGGTTAAGAGCAGGTGGGACAATTACATATAGATTAGCTAAAAGAATATGAATGTAGTGGGGAATGTTTTGGCCAAAGCGGTGAGTCAGAAAAGAAAATAAGGCTGGTGTGTAGAAACACAGCATGACACAGACATGGGAACCACAAGTGTTGAGAGCCTTTAATCGGGCATCTTGAGATGGAAACTGGAAAACAGCTCTAAGGATAAGCACATAGGAACAGGCAATCAGAATCATGTCCACAAGGATATGAGATATCACCACAAGTCCATAAATGATGTTGATCTTGATGGGTGAACAGGCTAATCGGGCAAGACCCATGTGCTCACAGTATGTATGAGGCATAATGTGGTGCCCACAGAAGGGCAGTCTCAAAATGAGAAACACAAATGGAGTCACAAGAATTAAATTTCTTCCAATAACAACTGAAAGGAGAAGGCTGATGGTTTTATTGGTGAGGATCATGGTGTACTGAAGAGGATTGCAGATGGCAACAAAGCGGTCATAAGCCATGACCACCAGCAAAACGGTTTCCATGCCTGTAAACATGTGGATAAAGAACATCTGAGCAAGGCAGCCTCCAAAACTGATCTCCTGGAGATTGAACCAGAAGATGCCCAGCATTTTGGGGATGGTGGATGTGGATAGACATAGATCAATCATAGACAATGTGGCCAGAAAGTAGAACATGGGCTGATGGAGGCTGTGTTCAGTCTTGATCACAAAGAGAATGGTGATGTTTCCCACAAGGGAAGTCAGATACACAAGACAGAATGGGAAAGCAATCCATATATGAAAAACTTCCAGACCTGGAATCCCCAGAAGGATAAAGAAGGAAGGATGGAACTGGGTGCTGTTGACAAAAGGCAGTCTCCTAGCAAGTGTCTGAGAATTCTTGTCAAGGGACGCTATTCTTTCATTAAGCACTTCCATTACCAAAGTCCTGAGAGATGGGAAAACATCCATTAGTATGTTGAATAAAATGGTATAAGTACTTACAAAGATAAGACATCCTTATCAAGAGTAATTGAGCAATTTGCTCAACATACATATTTCTTCTGAGACCTATTGCAGCCAATGTTGCTTGCTTTTTTCTAACTTATGAGGTCTCTGAAAAAACTGGAATATTCCATCTTGTGGTATATACTCACTTTTTTGGTGTTTGTTTTCACTCATAACTTTGTGTACATTACCATGCCATGTCCAATGTCCCTCAAAGTGTGGTCTGCTATTAAAAAGCCATAAATTCTATGAGATGCATTATACTTTCATTAGTGTTTTGATTTCTTATAACTCTAGAGATTTGTTCATTGGTTCAGTATAGTCAACACAACATAATTAAGCCCAATGAGATATTCTGTCTTAGAATTTTTCTCATTCTAACTCTGTTGCTCTGAGTAGCCTGTTTATTGTATGATAATATCACTACTTTTTAGTACTTTTGGGGGGGGGCTGTGTTATTTTCAAAAACATTTCCAGCCTCCGTAGTTACTTGACAACACTCACATATCTGTCTTAGATATGTTTCAAATGCTGTGATAAAACACCATGACTAAAAGCAACTTAAGGAGGAAGGTTTTGTTTGAATTTAAAACTCTCAGTTCATACGCTATCACTGAAAGAAGTTAGGAAAGGAACTCAAGGCAGGAATCTGGAGGCAGGAACTGAAGTAAAGGCCATGGGGGAATGCTTCTTACTGGCTTGTGCCTCATGGTTTGCTCTGCCTCCTTTCTTATATAGTCCAGGGCTACCTGCCCAGGAGTGGCATCACCTACAGTGAGCTGGGTCCTACCATATTAATCATTAATCAGCAAAGTACCCCACAGACTTGCCTACAGGGCGATTCCATGTAGACATTTTCTCATTATGAATTTGAAAAAGAGCAAGGGATGATCAAAGGAAGGTTTGAGGGAGGAAAAGGAAAAGGGTATTATCTAATTATATTATAATCTCAAAAAATAAAAGAAATAATTTAATACGATTTCCTCTTCCCAGATAATCTAGGTTTGTGTAAAGCTGACAAGAAGTATATCTTTCTGAAAATGTCTTCATCTTATCAGATGAATAGTGTATACTTGTCTTATAATATATAAGGCAAATATTTTATAAATATAAAAGAATCCATAGAAGACCCTACAGAAGCTGAGAGAAAATTGATCATGCAGAAGGAAGAGGACAACGTTTGCCAGTGCTGAGGAGAAGATGACGGTCTGAGAAATTGGAAGCTATTTGTGGAATTTTACTAATGTATAGTCAATACCATCTTCAGTGTTTGTTGTCAACAGGACACTTTACTGGCAAAGGTGAGTACCAGAAGAGTGAGAAAGGAGGGCCAGTCTTGCACAGTACCATTTAGAGCCATCAAGACACCTACTTCTTTACAAATTTACCCAGAATGCTTGTTTCTGTTTTTCTGCTGGAGCTGGGTGATACTTGAAGTGACACATGCAGCTAACAAGCTGGTCATTTTTGGAGGCCATCTTTGTTTAGATGGGCTCATTGACAAAGATCTCAGTCCCATAACACCCTTTAAAACCTGAGTTGATGATAAGTAGGGCATTTTCCGTTATAGCACCAACAATTGCTGTGGCCACTGATCTTTTGGTTTCTTTTTACTATATTGTTTCTTTCTCTTTGGCCTTTGCAGAACAATAAGTGGATTTGTTTAGACCTGAAACTGAGATTTTAAATGACTAAAAATGTTGTGCCATTCATTTGCTGAAGAACTTTGGCTAATTTCTCTACTTTATAAATCAGGTTTTTCTTGTAAAATTGGGGGAGTAAATCCAACTAATGTTCTTTATTTCAGAATGAACAAGATTAATGCATGTGAGTTAAGCAGCTCAGAAGGTAGCCAGAAAATATCACTGATGCTTCCTAGTGTTTTGTTTTAATCCAAGATGCTAAGAAAAGACCATTATTTAAAATGAGGTCATTGTAGTCTAGAAGATGAATGGATTGTTACAGAAGAATGAAGGGCTGCTACCAGATGAGACATTTACACTTCTCTGGATATCCACTTATACTAACATAATCCAGTACTGCTTAGTTTGAAGAGAACCAGGCTCTGTTCTTAGCCTTACTCTTCTCACTTCAGTTTTCCTCAGCTTGGTCAGATTAAAAACAAAAACAAAAACAAAACAAAAAACTGAATGGCCTGGGAAGGAGGTTTATTCAGGCTTTTTCAAGACTAAGACATGAAGGGATATGAGAGAGACAGGAGCAGACAATAGTGAAGAGTAAACTACCGGTGAAAGTCTATCTGGATACTCAAATCAGTCACACCTCTACCCCTAACCCTCATGTGAAGGTGATCTGCAAGTTTTTGTCTGTCATAGAAAAAGCAGAGCAAACCTCACTACTAGCTTTGCTACTGTGTGTCAGTTTTCCAGCTTTTGTAATTTTCATTTTTATTGAAGTATGTGTGTACCTGTCATTTTATAAGCAATAAAGGAATGCAGTTGTATTAGGGAGAGGTTCATAGAGGAAAGAAGGGAAGAGTAAGGGAGGGAGAGAGAGGAAGGGAAAAAGAGAAGGGCACAGAAGCAAAGTCTACAAAGTCTTCATGTATACCCCAGTCCTTACCTTAGCCGTACCAGTCCCTCCAAGTTGCGTTTTGTTGTGTAGAGAATGGTTCTCAGGACAATCGTTAAGAAAAGGGAGGCTTCTACATATTTGACCTCTCTTCCTCCTTTCACCTGTCTCTTCTGTACCCTGCCTGAATTCTGATGTCTCTTAGTATTTTATTTCCCCATCCTTACATAGAGTTAAATAGCCTTGTGGTCTAGGTTCTTAAAGATGGCCCTTTCAAACCTCTGGGCTTTTGGTCTCACTGATCTCATGGAGAGAAGCTCTAGTGAGTCTAGACACATCCCAGAATCCCTGAACATAGTTTTCAGAACCCTCTGTGTATAAACCTGTACCCAAGGGTCTTACATTCTATTCATCCCCGTGGCATAGTAGAGAAACACTGTACCAGATATAATCTCTTAACCCAGAGGAGATGTGGTGTGGAAGATGAGGAAGGGAAATATGATGAGGGAAGATGTGAATGAGTGGGTCTCCTGAGGGGAAAGGACAGCATTAAATTTATAGCAGTGACCTCTCCAAAGTATGACTTTCCCCAGCAACTCTTCTGTTTGGTTTTATTAAAAAGTATAAATGCTGGCTTAGTTTGGGCATGACCATAGCCAAGGTTTAAAAAGATGAAGAGAGTAGACTCTTGAAGTACATTCATCTCTGTGGTAGTGTAGAGAACTACAGATAAATCCATCAGTGTCCTTCAACTAAGAAAGAGTCCCCATTCCAGCCTATGTTCAAGAGATGGAGTCTCTAGGCAAGCACATGTTCAGTTCTTTTGTTAGAGTATGGAAAAAGATCCCATTTCTCCTAAGAAAACTTATCCTAATGTCTTCCTCATGCAGGGCACAGTAGTGTCTCCTAAGTGTCCCTTCCTGTGTGGTAGACGAGGCCTGATATTCCTCCCAGGACATACTATATGCTCTGATTTCCTGGCTGTAGGTACAAAAGGTCCAAGGGACAATGGGATATGGGAACCAGTTTTCATCTTCTAAGTTCAGACTCTTTTGAGTTGTTATCACTGAGAAAGTAATGTTCCTGATCTAAAAGAGATTTTGGTTTGTTCTGCTCTCACATTCATCCTTCTCTTTTGATTGACAAGCTGGTTACTTAGTCTCCTGTCTTTCCCTCACAGAGTCCATGTTTGCTATTGTATCTACACCTATTTTTCATGTATTAAACCATACTCTATCCAATCTCTCCTTAATATTTCTTCCTATAACTCCCATTTTTCTCTATTGTAAACTATAAAATTCATATGGTGAATTATAAAAACTACTGTTACCAATTGCCTTCATTAAATAACCAATAATCCTTCTGGTTGTAACTTGTGATTTTACACCACATATCCCTGTCTTTGGGGACTGACTATCTTTCATATAAAATCATCTTCACTCCTTTCGACTTCCTTTCAATTCTTCCCCAGTGACAGTCCTCCCCAACAGGCATCTGTACCACCTTTCTGCTTGCTGTAGTTTCATGCTACTATTACAGCATGCACACTTGCCTTTTCACTCATTGAGGGTTGCCTGCCATTCTAACTCCCTTTGTGTGGGGATATTAAGGTAACACTTCATTCAACTCTACTCCTCAGTTCACACAGCACAGAGTCTTGGATGGAGGAAATGTTCAGATATTGCTGGGTTATATAAGCCCCAAAATTTTAAAGTGGCAGTTCTGTGAGGAGCCCAATGCTCTATGATCTTATATCTCTCTTATATATGATTTATAACTTATAAAAATTGTTAGAGTGTCTTCTGGCAGGTTATCATGAACAGCGTTATTATCCTCACTTGAAACCATTATTGATGGGTTTTTTTTTTCATTTTCCTTTTGAGATAGAAACCTGTTCTTAAAGACACAGTTCCTGCAAAGATTTTAAGGATTGGGTGTATTTTTACACTGTAACTCCTCAAACCAAAAAGCCTAAGACAAAGTATACTCATTCATATCCATTGATATGTCTTGAATGGTATCCACCCTCATCCCTAAAAGTCTAACATATACCTTGATGCTCATGTCATAATATGGTCAATGACTCTAATTTCTTGAAGATTTTGGAGTTTTCAACAATTTTACTTTTTTGTGATTTTTTTTTTTTTTTTTTTGAGATAGGGTTTCTCGGTGTAGCCTTGGCTGTCTTAGAACTAGCTCTGAAGTTCAGGCTGGCATCAAACTCACACAGATTGGCCTGCCTCTGCTTCTTTTTTTTTTTTTTTTTTTTTTTTTTTGGTTTTTCGAGACAGGGTTTCTCTGTGTAGCTTTGCGCCTTTCCTGGAACTCACTTGGTAGTCCAGGCTGGCCTCGAACTCACAGAGATCCGCCTGGCTCTGCCTCCCGAGTGCTGGGATTAA